GGGCCGGATTAGACTGCCCTATTAGGGAAAGAAACGTCGCACCTGATGTGGCCCTGATTAGGAAATTCACATTTTCTAGTCGCCCTTATCTGGCCCTGATCAGGCGTGGCGTTTCATTCCCTACTATGGCCCTTATAGAGCAATTTCTACACGGGCAAGGTTAAATTATCGTAAACATAACCTATAATTCCTTTGGTTCTAAAGTCCCTTTCTTCAGAGCGCATCGCACATATATAATTTATTTATAAATAATTTTTCCCTTTTTTATTACTATATTAAATTAATATTAATTTATCAAACATATATTTACTCCTCGCGATCAAATATATACATATAAATGAATCGTTAATAAAATAAATGTTTGCCTCTCATTAATAATATTGAACATCAATATATATCAAAAAACTGTCAAAAAATTTGAATTTTTAAATTATTGATTTAAAAAAATTTCCTATAGATTTCAATAAATTAATATAACATTGATATGTAATATTGATTGATTAAATAAATTTATCATTGTTTTCAGTTCAATGACATTTAATTATTCGGGGTCAAAAAATTTTACGTATATCAATATATTATATTACTTAAATGGAAATATTTTATAATCAATATTTAGTTAAAATAAATAATTTTTATTTAAATTTCAAATAATCAATATTCGGATCAATAATTTCTAAATATTTCCATTATATAAAATTACTATTTAATTGCGATAATATTTGATAGAAATAAATATTTATTTTTGTTAATTTTAATCAAATAAATTTTTTTAAATATTTAATGACGATTCTAGACGAGTGGTTTGCAAAAAAATATATATATAGTATCGTGAGAGAATGAGGGAATTTCTGAAATGATGGTAAAAAAAGGCCTAGACTTCTAGATGCAGGTGAACGTGACCTTGGACTTAGGGAATGAACTGTGACCTCGTAATGGGAAAAGAATTCAAGACCCTTGGGCTATATATATATATATATATATATATCTATTGGGGAAAGAGAGAGGATAAATGTGTTTGTGTGTCTGTTTTTGTATCCTCAATATACTAAAGTTAGATATATGCACCTCACTGCAGGTGAGCGAACAGGTTTGATGGGAAGTATTAATATCAAGGAATCGATTAGACACGCCTCGTAAAAACAAATGTCGATTTCTCCGCTATTTTAGTTACACAAATGTAATAAATTCCTATACAAATTTTCTCAAAATCTATTTGCAATAAATAAATTTTTTTTTTTTTTTGCATCATTAGATTTTATTTCATATCCCGTGTAGAAATTGACCTATCAGGGCCCTAGTAGGGAATGAAACTTCACATTTGATCAGGGCCAAATGTGGATTTCCTAATCAGGGCCACATCAGGCGCGTCTATTCCCTAATAGGGCAGCCTGATCCGCCCCCGATCTGAGCCCTGGAAAAATTTTTACACGAGAGATTCATATGCGATTCCTTTTATTTCTTTTATCAAAATAAAATAATTGTTTTCATAAATAAAATTTATAAAAATCATTAACATTTTTTAAATTCAATAATTATATAATAATAATAATAATAATAATAATAATAATAATAATAATAATAATAATATTAATAATATATTATATTATTAATTATAAATATTATATTATAAATATTATTATAAATATTATTATAATTATAAATACATAATATATATTATTAATAATAATTTAAATATATTATAAATATATTATTATGTATATTATGCATATATAATTTAATAATATCTTTTTTATCAATAAAATAATTATGTAACTTTATAATCTATAAGTGTGTAATTTTTTTTGTGTAAAAAAACAAAACCGCGAAATAAAATACAAACGCACTTTGAAAGATGAAAGACATTTATATAGGAATTTTAATTGAATTGAGATTTTTGAGGGATTGACATTTCAATTAAATATACGCTTTTTTCCAATTCAAAGACGTGTGGTGTTTTACCATTAAGATAAAATTTGAAAGTGTCCGTATGTCTTGCGCACCTACGTATTTTCTTCCGAAGAAGCACAAATGTTTTCGAACGTTTTGTTTTATATGGTGAGTTGCGTGCAGCTGCCCTTTACACCCCCGCAAATGTAATATTCAAATAAGCATCGGAAATTGTTTTCACTTGTAATATATGTAAAAAGAAGAAAAAAAAAAGAAATTATTCCCTCACAGGATATTCGTATATAATTTATTTATTAATTGATCAAAATTAATTAAATTGTTAAAAAAAATAAATAAATAAAAGAAAAACAATTAGAATAGCCAAAAGAGTGATGATAAAAATACACCTGCTTGAAGAAATTTGGGAGGGGGAAGGGCTTTTTGTTTGTAGGGCGGCGTTTAGTGTAAATTGTTTGGGGATCGTTAAAGTAGGACGCGAAGGACGTTTACGACGCAATGTCAGAGAGGATAAAAGTAGGGTGTTAGTTTCACCTGGGTGGTCTCGCGAATCCTGCGAGGATTAATCGACCGCGTCCTCATGACGTGATATAAATTGGGGCCCTTGTTCTAAAAAAAAAAAAAAAAAATTCCCTTCTTTACGGTAACACTCACCCCTTTTTCGGTCCCCATCATTGTTGTTGATCTTTCCGAGGCATTTCACAAAATTTTTCTTGAAAAATCTGTAAAGACAAAAAAAAAGAAGGGACGCATGAATAAGCTCTAAAACAAATTTGTTATAGAAGTTACATGTCATAGAATTTTAGTCAGCTGAATATTAATTTGCCAGAAAGTCAATTTAATCGAATTTTAATTTGGCAGAAAATCAATTTGATCGAATTTTAATTTGGCAGAAAATCAATTTGATCGAATTTTAATTTGACATTAATTCAATTTGATCGAATTTTAATTTGCCAGAAATTAAATTTGACCGAATTTAAATTTTCCCGAAACGTTGTTTTATAGAATATTAATAGTGCAGGAAAACAATTTGACAGAAATCTACTTTACCAGAATGTATATATTTGTTCGAATATTAATTTCCCAAAAAGTTAATCTGACCGAAAATTAATTTGGCAGAATTCCAATTTGATTGAATTTTAATTTGTTAGAAAGTCAATTTGATCGAATTTTAATTTGGCAGAAAATCAATTTGATTGAATTTTAATTTGTCAGAAAGTCAATTTAATCGAATTTTCATTTGGCAGAAAATCAATTTGATCGAATTTTAATTTGATATTAATTCAATTTTATCCAATTTTAATTTGCCAGAAATTAAATTTGACCGAATTTAAATTTTCTCGAAACGTTGTTTTATGGAATATTAATATTGCAGAAAAACAATTTGACAGAAATCTACTTTACCAGAATGTATATTTGTTCGAATATTAATTTCCCAGAAAGTTAATTTGACCGAAAATTAATTTGTCAGAATTCCACTTTGATTGAATTTTAATTTGTCAGAAAGTCAATTTCATCGAATTTTAATTTGGCACAAAAATCAATTTGATCGAAATTTTATTTGTGCGAAACGTTTTCTCATAGAATTTTAATTTAGCAGAAAAGGTAATTTAATAGAATCCTAATATAACAGAATCAAAATTTGATAGAAATTTAGTTTACAGGAAAGTATACATTTTTTCGAATATTAATTTGACAGAAACTCAATTTCACCGAAGATCAATTTGACCGAAATATTTCGGCGCGAATTTTAAAATTCACCAATAGAAAATTATCAAGAAAATTGTGATTGGTTAATTTTAAAATTTGCGCCGAAATATTTCGGTTTAATTGATTTTCGGTGAAATTGAGTTTCTGGCAAATTAATATTCGATCAAATTGGAATTCTGCCAAATTAATTTTCGGTCAAATTAACATTCTGGGAAATTAATATTCGAACCAATACATACATTCTGGTAAAGTAGATTTCTGTCAAATTGTTTTTCTGGACTATTAATATTCTATAAAACAACGTTTTAGGAAAATTTAAATTCGGTCAAATTTAATTTCTGGCAAATTTAATTTCTGTAAAATTTAATTTCTGTTAAATTTAATTTCTGGCAAATTAAAATTCGATCAAATTGATTTTCTGCCAAATTAAAATTCGATTAAATTAACTTTCTGGCAAATTAATATTCTGCTGATTAAAATTCTATGAAATGTAACTTCTAAGAAATTAAAATACGAAAATTAAAAATCGATAAAAAGTTTTGAGGTTATGTTTAGGGCCTCGATGCTCGTTAATTCTCAATATACCATATCGAACATGATTTTAAGATATATCGGTTTTTTAATACAGAAAATTTTTATTATTTCTGTCAATTTGAAATAACCAGAAATGAAGATATACATTTTCTGAAAATATTGAATTGCGATCAAAATGGTACCAGCAATCGACTGGCATGAAATTGTGGCTTCATATATATATGTATATAGCGGAACCATAAAAGCAATACACGACACGCCGCAGGACAGTGCCAAGAAGTGTACAATACTGGTGTACCAGGTTCGTGCAACACGACATGCCCGTGCAATGTCCAACAAATGACGGGACCATCGTGTGTGGTCTCACCTGCGTGGGTGTCTCCAGACAAGTCAGAATCGCGCTATCATCCACTACGAGGTGTTATTTAATCGCTCTTTTAATCGGTCCTGATGCTTTCAAGCAGTGCGCGAATATATATACCTTCACACATATTCTGAGATGCTGCGCGTTTAATTATCCTCCATAAGTTGCAATTATACTCGCGAGTAAAGTTTCCTTTACGTCTCTCTCTCTCTCTCTCACTCACTCTAAGAATTATTTTATTTCACAAATATTTTAATTGACCCGATTAATTTATTTCTCTAAAAAAAAATATTTTCAAGAAGAAGAGAAATAAATCTTGTTGAAAAGAGAAAAAAAAAGAAATGATATGAAAATAAAGAAGCAATACACAGCTTCTTAGGACTTCTGAATAAAAGTTGCAGATTATCATTCTGCAAAAAAAAAAAAAAAACAAGTTGGGAATCCAGGTGATTTTTTAAAATTAAATTCTGTTATCGTTTCTCAGGTTGACCGAAACGTGAGCAAAACTGGCAGCAAAGTGATATCGGTGCATTCTCATCAATTCGAAGCAAGCACGCGAGCCCATAATTTCACGAAAGGAAGCCCTCGGTTACATTTTTATTGGAAACGATCGAAAGTTTCCTTTTTTTTTTTATTCTTCTTTTTTGCTTCTTTGACAGATGATGAATCGCTTTAGGGCAATGTTAATTTCAAAATCGGATAAACTATATCAAAATAGAATATTTTGTCTTTTGACTTCTGTAAATAAATTTACAAACTTCGTGACTCTGAAATAAAATGAATCGAGGCATGTATATATATTTGGTCGAAAGATGAGTTCAAAAGATATATATGTGAACCCTAGGGAGATAATTCTTCCCAAGAGGAAAAAGTGTTGGTTCAGGCAAGGGTTTTTCGAAAACGCAGATAAATACTAAAATTGAAAGACAGGAAGTTCCCCCACGTAGGCGGAAAATACTAATTCCCTATCTCTATACAGAATTATGTATATATATTACTGTTTTAAAAGATTTTTCCATACCGAGAAAATAAAATAACTCGTAAAATATTTGTTAAATCCAGATGAGTTATATTTATTTACCAACTTCCTATGTTTTTTAACCAGCTTTCCATGATACAGGTTCAAAGTATATATATATACTGAAAACATGTGGGCTATTAATATAAGATTACGTCGTATTATGTATGTTATTTAATGTATGGGAGAAAGTAGCGTCAACAATTGACAAGTGTAAATAGTAATTAAAAAATTATTCTCAAAGGAAAACAACAATAATTTCAGCAATTAATTTAATTTATAAAAAAAATGTACCGTCGATCCTATACACAAAATATACAGGAAATTTTTTTTACAACTTCCGAACAAAAACTAAATGTCAAAATTAAAAAAAAAATAAAATAAAATAAAAAAAGTTTTAATTATTAATGTAATTTAAAATTATAAGGGATTTTTTCATTTCCCAGGAAAACAACCTTTTCAAAAAAATTGAAAAAAATTGATTATTTTTATTCTATTGCAATTTAGGTTCAATTAGTAGGTTTTTTTGAAGGTTATATGTGTTGTTTTACCATAAAAAATAATAGGGACATACTGTTTAATTGTATTTAAGTTATTAAGGGATTTTTTCATTTTCCAGGAAAACAACCTTTTCAAAAAAAATGAAAAAAATTGATTTTTCTTTTTCTTTTCTGCATAAAGATCAAATGTAATATTTCTTTGAAGGTAAGATGTATTGTTTTACCACAAAAAAATAATAGGGACATACTGTTTAATTGCATTTAAGTTATTAAGGGATTTTTTCATTTCCCGGGAAAACAACCTTTCAAAAAAATTTAAAAAAATTGATTATTCTTATCCTTTTTACATAAAGATCAATTGTTAAAATTTTTTGAAGGTACTATGTATTGCTTTACCATAAAAAAACTTCATTTGAATTTATAAGGAATTTTTTCATTTTCTAGGAAAACATTTTTTTTAACCCCTTGACTGTCGACGAGATTTCCACTATTTGGGCCAAAAGTGTGTTGAACAAAATTTTAATGAATTTTTCTGAAACTTGGTATCTTAAGGTTTTCAGGGTCGCTGATTACGAACCTAAGGTCGGTTTTTCAAAATTCAAAATGGCGGATCCAATATGGCGGACGACAATTTGAAAATATAATGCAATTCACTTGAAAATGGGTACTCGGGGGCTTTTGGGGTCGCTGATTACGAATCCCATATTAGTTTTTTAAAATTCAAAATGGCGGATCCAATATGGCGGACGACAATTTGAAAATATAATGCAATTCGCTTGAAAATGGGTATTCGGGGATTTTCGGGGTCGCTGATTACTAATTCGATGTTATTTTTTAAAATTTAAAATGGCGGTTCAATATGGCGGACGACAATTTGAAAGTGTAATGCAATTTGCTTGAAAATGGTTACTCGGGGGTTTACGGGCTCGCTGTTTACAAATCTGAAATCAAAATTTTGAAATTTCCAAAATTCAAAATGGTGGATCCAATATGGAGGAAAATTTTTCAAAATTAATCAGATTAATTAATATTGGATCCGACATTTTGAATTTTGAAAATCTGATGCCATATTCGGAATCAGCGACCCCGAAAACCCCTGAGTAACGAGCTTCAGTCGAATCCGATCAATTTTGAAAAATTTTCCGCCATAATGGATCCGCCATCTTGAATTTTAAAAAACTGATATCAGATTCGTAATCAGCGACTCCGAAAACCCCTGAGTAACCATTTTCAAGCGAATTGTATCATATTTTCAAATTGTCGTCCGACATATTGGATCCGCCATTTTGAATTTTGAAAAACCGACCTCAGATTCGGAATCAGCGATTCCAAAAACCCCCGAGTAACCAGTTTCAGAAATATTTGAGATGTTTTTCATCACTTTTTTTAAGTTGCGCATATATGCGTAAAGAGCACTTTTGGCTAGTTTTAGTTTTACGCATATATGCGTCAGCGACAGGCAACGGGTTAATAAAAATTATTTTTCAACTTATTTTTCATTAAGTATGATTGTATATAAATAACTTTTTGCTTAAAAAATAGTAATTAATGAAATAAATGAGAAATAAATATTATTAAGGAAAAATAAATCTTAGCAACCTAAAAAAAAAATCTATCCTAAAATGCAAATCAAAAATTAAAATTAAATTCAAAAACATAAAGAAATTTCATAGAAAGCAAGGACTTTTTTTTTTTTTATTTACATTTTTTGCCCAAAAAATGACCATTTTATCGAATCCTTTTGTGCAGAGTCCGGAATTGCAAATAATTCAGGATATTATTATATAAATAAAAGAAGTGAAAATTATATTTATGATTTTCTCATCCCATTGAAAAATAAATAAGTTAACGGGGTTTTCAACTTAAAAGATAGTTATTAATTTGCTGTTAACATTGGTTTTTTTTTTTTTTTGCTTTTGCTTTTCTGTAAATGAAAAACGAGAAAGAATAATGATCTCTTTGAACAATGATTTCATGGTTGCGTGGAGTCATTTTCGTCACGCTTCTTTGGCCTGCGTTGCAGTTACAGATAAAATGAAACGGAAGTCGGTCCTTTAAAATCAGAGGGTAGAGAGAGAGAGGACTTGCGAAATCTCTTGAGTGTGCAAACGCAATCTAAAGACACTTCTCAAAGGACCAAAAAGTCATTAACAGTTGGCAATCACAGATTTCCGGGATACAAATAACAAAATGAACTTGACGCCTTTTTTTCTACCAATTTTTTTTTATTTTACCTTCTTTTCTGTGAAGAATTTTTTTTTAGTAAATAAATATAATCAATTTTAATTATTATTTTCTCTTAATTTTATAATTTAATTATTGTTAGTACTATTTAATTAGAAAATAATTATTTATATTATATTATGGTGAATTTAAAAAATTTAATTATTTTAAGTGCAGTGGAATATGGCGAAAAGTAAAAAAAAAACGTATATATAGGTATATTTTTCTTTTGGCTATATATCTCAGTTATCTACGAGGTAAAGACTTTTTCCTGTACTTTTCTTGGGGGCGACTCAGCGGGACGTAAAAATGCTCGACGCTACTTATACTATATAGGTGTCAAGTGTCTGGCCAGAAAATAACGTTGCAAGATCACAGGAGCGTTTTTCAAAGTTGAACCGGAAGTAAAAGAGACATTCTCTAATTGGTACTTCGTAAAAGCTTTTCGAGATATATACAGGCACATTGTGTATACGTTCTCTCAAAAAAACCATTATAATCATTTTTCTTTTTTACCTTTTTTCACAAGTCCTCTAAATCTATTTTTTTGTCTATTTTTCTTTATTATTAAAAGAAAAATCAAATTTTATTCAAAAAAAGTTATATTCAATTTCTAGTTTTTAATATTTGCAAAAAAAGGTATTATATTCAATTATATAAGATTTAGATCACAATATATCGTTATCGCAGTGGGGAAATGAATATAAAATTTCGAAAAATATAGAATTTAAAAACAGGAAGTTCATGTATAGCATTGATATCGTGCAGTTAAAATCTCATACGCCTATTTGCAATACACGCTCCGAATATCGTATATATTGAAAAATTGAAAAAAAAAATATTCCCTGTTGTTTGCAAAAATAATATTTTTTTTTACACACGTTCGTTTATGAGACGTTCAATCTGATAAGCTATTGTTATCACGCCAAATCAAAATGCTATAAAATTTTATTTTCCATTCTGTTTATATTTCCATTACATTTCCGTGAATCTTTTTTTCTCTTTTCAAATTTGTTTAAAATTATTTTTATTTATCCTTCGGTGAATTAAACTTCCAATAAACAAAAAATAAATTAAAATACAAATCTATTAAATTAATATAATTAATTAATACTTTTTATTATATTAGGAGGAAAAAAAATAGGAAATCAATGGCAAAATTGTTTAAAGTGTTTTTGTTGTGTAGTTTATACTTATTGTTAAGGGAGAAGTTTTATAAAGATTTTGATCGTTAAAATACACGGGCGCAGCGTCATTAATGTTACCACGCCTTAACGTCACCTTGTCTGCCGTAAAATCCTCAACACCATCCTATCACGTCTAGGACGTGCTATTGAAAAGTCGTGACAATAAAATATTTAAATGAGCGGCACATAAACGTATTCACTGATGCCCACAATGTACTTTGCTTGTAGCGGGCGGTTAAATTCTTGTAGTGACGTCGTGTTTTTACTCTTTCACTCTATCTCTCTCTCTCACTCTCTCGCTCACTCTCTTTAAAGCCCTTTAGCGCCCCTGACGAATCGACTATTTATGAATTTAATCGATCGTAAACTCAGTCCTACTCACTACTAGACAAGTGGTAATACATGTAACATGACTATCGTGCCGCTGATCTTGAGGAGAAAATCCTTGAAGTATCTGTATATATATATACGAAAAGATACTTCATCCACCTCGAGGATATTTAGTTGCAATTCGAATTGGTATATCCTCTAAAGTGTGGAGACTCTAGTACCAAACCGGATATCGAGTTACAATGAAGTAGACAGTAACATAAATAACATCCTTCTTTACAATATATATATATATATATAATATGTAGGCGTATATATGTACATCGTGACACCTGTCGTAACATTATAGAAAAAAAGGTTGTATTAGCATTAGAAGAAGATTCCATCCATTTGTGACATGTTGATACAAGGCACAATTACAAGAAATTCATTCGTCGTTT